GTTTTTAGCCGAAACCTCTTTGTTATTAATCCAAAACCTTTCTTAGCCAAAACCTCATTTTTTAACCCAAACCCTCTTGTTTTTAGCCGAAACCTCTTTGTTATTAATCCAAAACCTTTCTTAGCCAAAACCTCATTTTTTAACCCAAACCCTCTTGTTTTTAGCCGAAACCTATTTTGTTGTAAATCCAACCCCTTTATTTTAACCTTTCTTAGCCAAAACCTCTTTTTTTAACGCAAACCCCCTTCTTTTTAGCTGAAACCCATTTCTTAATCCAAAACCTCTTCTTTTGTAATGCAAAACCTTTCTTGGCCAAAACCTTTTTTTTTAACCCAAAACCTCTTGGCTTTAGCCAAAATCTGTTCTTTTTTCCTCCAAAACTTTTTTTCTCTTTTCAGAAAAACATTTTTAATTTTTTTTTTTTTTTAGCGAAAACCCTCTTTTCTTTACGGAACTGTTTCGGATGCTCCGCAGGGCATCGCTCACCTCCAGCCCCAAAATCACATTGGCTGCTCCACAGCGCTGCCACCCTTCAACTCCTCCCGCCTCCCCAAATCCTTCTGAGGGGCTCCACGGCGCTCCCATCCATCCCCTCCATCCCCCCAAATCCCCCCGGGGTGCTGCAGAGCGCTCCCCTCGCCCCTCCCCGCCGCCGGGCGGGTTCCCCTTCAGCCGCTCCTTTCACCCCGCTGCAGGCAAGGTTTATTTCCTGAAGACTTTCCGCAAGCTCAGCTACCCGGAGGCCGTGCAGGCGTGCAAGAACAACGGCGCGGCCGTGGCCAAGGTGGGGCAGCTGTACGCGGCCTGGAAGATCCAGCTGCTGGACCGCTGCGAGGCGGGCTGGCTGGCGGACGGCAGCATCCGCTACCCCATCGTCAACCCCCGCGCCCGCTGCGGCGGCCGCGAGCCCGGCGTGCGCAACCTCGGCTTCCCCGACAAGAAGTACAAGCTCTTCGGCGTCTACTGCTTCAAAAAGGCCGGAGGAAACCCGCCCGGGGCGGACGCGGGGCTCCCCAAACGCGTGTGAGCGCGGGCGGCTCCGGTCCCCCCCGCGCCCCGCGGGAGCTGCGGGCGGCCCCCGCCGGGGCGCGGAGCGGCGGCGGAGCGGGCCCGCGGCTCTCGGCGGCGCTCGGGGCAGCGGGAGGACTCGGGTTTGGGGAGCCCCGGCGGAGCCTGCGCCCCGAGCCCGGGCCGGCCCCCCGCGCCCCGCAGCTCTCGCTTCCCCACGCGCCTGCTGCATGCGCTAAAGGGCCGCGGAGCCGCCGCCCTCCTCATCCTCACCCCGACCCCCGCGAGGTGCCGCTGGGCCCCCCAGATCCCCCTCACAGCAGGGACAGGGCGGCAGCGGGTTCGGCTCCGCTCCGGGCCGGCTCCCGCTTGGCTCGGCGGGCACCGGGGCCGGGAGGGGCCGGGGGGCGGCGGCCGCTGCGCCCACCCGGCCGGGCACCGGCCGCAGGCTTTGGCAGCGCTGGACGTAGATGAAATAAAAGCTTCGGCCGCTTTGGAGAGCTGAGCGCGGCTCCGCCGTGTCCTTGGGGGCTCGGGGCCCGTCCCCGTCGCGACCCTCGGATTTACCGGGGCCCGATCCAAGGATCTGTGCCGGATCTGGCACCGAGCCGGCGGCCAGCGGGGTGGCACGACACGCGTGGGGTCCCCGGGGCTCGGAGGGGGATCGGAGCACGCCCCAGCGGAGCACAGCCCGTAAATCACTTTTCCTGCCGGGAAATCAATATCCGCCGGGATGTCACAGCCCTGGGAGGGGACAGCGGGCGTTGGGTGACGGGGGAACCTCGGGGGCGGGTGATGGAGGATGTTTTAGGCAGGAATCACCCCAAAAATCTATCGGCTCTCCCCATCTCGAGGGGGACACCAGGAGAGCTTGGGGCTGCTCGGAATTAACGGGGTGCGGTGAGAGGAGGCGGCTGGGGAGCGGCGCCAGGCGGGGAACACGACCCGAGGTCCCCAGGAAAGGGCGGGCGTGGCTCAACTGTTAAAAAAATTTATTAAAATGTCCAGCAGTACAGAAAGGCGGAGTCAGAAATGGGGAGGGGGCGCCGGGAGGGGGTCGGGGAGGGGGCGGGGACGCGGCAGTCACGTCGCAAGGAGCGGAGATCGGAAAGCGCCGTACACACACACGCACACACACACACACACGCCAACTCCGACGGGACCCGACACGAACGGACAGGGGACAGAGCCCCACCGAGCACCCCCAGAGCGGGCGCGGAGCGGGACAGGGGCCCCGCGACCACCGAGCCCCCCACGCCCCACCCGTGCCGGCCGCGGGGACGCCCCGGGGGGCTGGGGCAGGGAAATGGGGTGGGGGGCTGCTAAAAAACCAGAGCCACCCCGGGGGCGACGGGGCGGGGGCTGCCCCGGTTTGGGGCCAGGGACAGAGCCCGGCTCGGGGGCTCAGCCCGGGCCGGGGGCTGAGCGTGGGGCATGCAGGGTGGGCTGGGGGCGCACACGCAGCCGCCCCCTCCGGATCCTATTCCCTACGGGGCCGGGCATCCTAAGGAGCTAAAGCCGAAAGGGGCTACAAAAGAGGGGCGGGGAGGCGGTGGGGCAGGGACGGGGGACGCCGCCACGTCCCGCGGGGACCCCTTTGTGCTCGCCCGCCTCTAGAAGTAGTGGCCCTCCTCCATCCAGTCCAGCCGGAGGCGCTGGCGGCGTTTCCGCCGCTCCTTGCGGGGTTTGTGCCGGTGGTGCGGGTGGTGCGGGTGGCTGTGCCGGTGCCGCCGGTGCCGCCGCGCTCGGTGCGACCGCCTGGCTAACGGGGGGCAAGGCGGGGCACGCGTGGCGGGTCAGCCCCCCGGACCGGGGCTCCGGACCCCCTCCCGCCCCCCGAGGCCCCCACTAACGTTTTGTGCAGAGGATTTTGGGCCGGTCCCACTTGCCGCTGCTGTGGCACTTGATGGTGGGGACGTGGCGCTGGCTGAAGCCCTCGTGGCACTGGTAGCGCACGCTGGAGTGGATGTTGTACTTCTCCTTCTTCTTCCCCACCGGGAAAGCGTTCGGCACCTCCGGGGGGGGCCCGCACAGCACTGGGACGGGGGGCACAGAGCTCCGTCACCCCCCGGACACTGGGAGTCACTGGGAGTCACTGGGAGTCACTGGGAGTTACTGGGAGGGGACAAGGGACACCGGTCCGGGCCACCCTGGAGCTCCCCCGCCCATCCCTGGGAGCTGTCCCCAGGGTTTAATTGGTTAATTAATGGCCTAACTGGAGCGTCATTAGCCCGCGGGATGGGGAGGAGCAGCTGGAGGTTACTGGAACTTCCCGAGGTAAGGAATGGGAATTTAATGGGAGCAAATCAAACAAATCCGAGGGCTGAGGGAGGGACTGATGGCGGGGAAAAGAAAAATGGAGATTTAGGGGGGAATTGGTGGAGTTCGCCTGGGAGAAGGGCCGGGAAAGGTTGGCCGGGGATGGGGACAGGGACACCGGGACCTGCGGGATGGGGACACCGGGAGCTGCGGGATGGGGACACCGGGACCTGCGGGATGGGAACACCGGGAGCTGCGGGATGAGGACACCGGGAGCTGAGGGATGAGGACACCGGGAGCTGAGGGATGGGGACACCGGGACCTGAGGGATGGGGACACCGGGAGCTGCGGGATGGGGACACCGGAGCCTGCGGGATGGGGACACCGGGACCTGAGGGATTGGGACACCGGGACCTGAGGGATGAGGACACCGGGACCTGAGGGATGGGGACACCGGAGCCTGCGGGATGAGGACACCGGGACCTGAGGGATGGGAACACCGGGAGCTGCGGGATGGGAACACCGGGAGCTGCGGGATGAGGACACCGGGAGCTGCGGGATGAGGACACCGGGACCTGAGGGATGGGGACACCGGAGCCTGCGGGATGAGGACACCGGGAGCTGAGGGATGAGGACACCGGGAGCTGAGGGATGAGGACACCGGAGCCTGCGGGATGAGGTCACCGGGAGCTGCGGGATGGGGACACCGGGACCTGCGGGATGAGGACACCGGGAGCTGCGGGACGGGGACAGGACGCCGGGGGCCGCGGGATGAGGCCGTGCCAGGCTGGGCAGGCCGGGCGGGCGCTACCTGTGCCTTTCTTGCAGATGTAGGGCAGGTTGTAGTTGCAGGGCACGTCGTTCCACTTGCCGATCTCGTGGGACACGAGCACCACGCAGTCCTCGCCGCCCGCGAAGAAGTTGTCGGGTTGGTTCTCCCGCCAGTTCTCGTATTGCTGCGGGGCCGCCGGGGAGGGTGACACCCTCCGCACCCCCGTCCCCGCACCCCGAGCCCCCCGAGCGCCCCGAGGCCTCACCAAGCCGGTGTTGTCGGTCCACTGGAAGTCCTGCTCCACGATGCGGTCGTTGAGGCCGATCCAGGTGTTCTCGTGGCCGAAGCCTGCGGGGAGAGGCACCCGCGGCTCGCACGGAGGAGGCGAGCAGCGCCCGGGGAGGGGGAGCTGGAGCCCCCCGGCCCACCGTTGATGAAGGCGTGCTCCTCCTGCGAGTGGATGCTGGTGAGGTGCCCGGCCCGGCGCCGGCAGTCGCGCTCCGCGTCCTCCCACGAGCGCCGGCGGGCGAAGTAGCGGTAGCAGTGGCCCTGGAACTTGTGCCAGTTGTGCTCACAGCCCTCCGTGTCTGCGGGGACGCGGCGACAGTGGCGGCGCGGCGCGGACCCGGGTCCCCTCCCGGCGCCCGGAGCCGCGGGGCTGGGCGGGGGGCTCGGCCGGGCCGGGGTCCCCGGCGGCGGCCCGCACCTTTCTCGCAGCGGCTGCCGCCGTAGCTGGGCAGGCAGAGGCACACGAAGGAGTTGACCTCGTCGATGCAGGTGCCGCCGTTCTGGCACGGGCTGGACAGGCAGTCGTCGATGTCTGCGGGGACACCGGGAGCTGCGGGCGCGGCCACCCCGCCCGCCGCCGCCGCGCCCCGCGGCTCGGAGCCGCGGTGCCAGCCGCGCCCGGCGGGGCCCGGGCCCTCACCGATCTCGCAGTTCTCGCCGGTGAAGCCCGGGGCGCAGCTGCAGCCGCACACGGTGCCGTTGGCACGGCTCGTCCCGCCGTGCAGGCACGGGTTGCTCTGGCACGGGTCCGGCGGCGCTGCGGGCGGCAGCGGGGCCCTGAGCCGGGCTGGGGGGCGCGGTGCCACCCCCGCTCCCATCCCA